AGACTTATAAGTGTTTCTTAGACAAAAATAGGTTTGTCTGTGAAGCGTGACTGCAATGTTTTTTGCTAATATGCATGCTGGAATATTGTTCCCAAACATATCAAATACAGCAGAACAGTGTACATGTGGAAGTTTGTCCTGTAGCCAAGTGCTGTATTTCTTTAGAAATGTTGAAACTATGATGAAATGTGATGAAGCAATGCAGATACAAAGAAGTGACAGACTGTTTAATACCATTATCACTTCTACTGAAAAGTGCAGCACCTGCAAGGTGAAAATAATAATCTACTACCAAACAGAAGATCTAGAGGAGGAACTACTTCTACATCTATGCTCTACCGTTACGTATAATGTAAGGAGAAAAGAACAATAAAGAGGAGTAAGAAACCTGGTAAAAAAAAAAATCTATTTTAAGATAGGTACAGGTTTTGCTGGCACGGTGGTGGAACTGGTAGACTGTTGCCTCTCAGCAAGCAGGTCACCAGATCAAATCCCGTCCGGAGCCCTTTCTGGGTGGAGTTTGCATGTTCTCTCTGTGAATACGTGAGTTTTCTCGGACTACTCCAGTTTCCTCCCACAGACTTGCATGTCAGGATGACTGGTAACTTTCAAATTGTCCCTAGGTGCGAGAGAGTGAATTGTTGTTTGTCTCATCATTTTTGTAACCAAAATAAAACTTAAAAACGAAAAAGAAATGATTCTTTCAAGTTTTCTAGATGTATAAAACAAAGGTAGAAGTTGAAGTACTTCAATATGGCGCTCATATTAAGCTGAGCTAAAGCACGGTATGAGTGTGTGTGTGGAGAAAACAAACATCAGGCTGGAGGTTAAGTGCTCTGACTGTGCTCCTGGTGAAATTCCTGAGCTGGCTGCCAACGCTCACTTGCCATTCCTCCTCTGAAAAGAGAGAAAATGAACGTGGACGGGTGGGCGAGAAGAAGAGGAACAGAGTGAGCATTCTTTTCATTATTTTTTTGGCTTATGACATAAACAGGGAAAAATCAGGAAATGAAAATAAATGACTCAATTTTTGACAAATTACTTGTTAAAGACACTACGTGTTCTGAGGGTTTAGAAAGAGAGAAGAAACGGGGGGGACTGTGATGAGAAATAGAAGTGGGAAAGCTATTTGAAACTCCTAAAGAATGTAACAGGGTGTGGCCCAGAACTTCCCCTAACAGAGATACTGTGTTTGCTCCTTATGCACACAAATGTGTTAAAAGAGTGTATGTGTTGAGCGGATTCATGATGTAATCTAAATAACTCAAAAGAAATCTCAGAGACAAACCCATCTCTGTGAAAAAGGATAAAAGAAAAGCAGGCCTCTTGTCACCACAGCAAGAAAACAGCTCCCCCTCCCTCTCCACGCCTGTCAGATGGAAAAGCAAACCACTGACTTGCTCTCTCTCTGTGGCGCTTTCCTATCTGGAAAATACAGAAATTCCCATAGATATGTTCGTTTCAGATGACAAAACTCAAAGAAATAAAACAGTATTAATAAAATAACAAGTAACCCAAATAATTAAAAAAAGTCCAAGTTAAGAAGCTGTTGTAATAAAATTATTGCAAGACCCTCTTTCAACATTTTCCTCTTTAACCTTATTTGTTATTTGCTCAACGCCCAGTGCAACAACTCTCTAACACTAAACACAAAGCAACATACTTTCAGGAATAATCCCCGTGCACTCTTTTCCTCTGTTCATTTGAAGCAATTGATCTGGTGTTACAGCTCTAGGGGGTAAAAAAGATAAACAACCTCTTGCTATGGGTTGTCTTAACAGGCAGCAGTATACGGGGGAAGACACTTCGTCTTGGCGACAGTCAGCCTGGCAGTCGGAGCAGGGAGTAAAGACAGGAGGCCAGGCGGAGGCAGCAGTGATAAGGAGGCCCCAGCACTCACGGGACTGAGGCCTCAGATAAGAGTCTGAAGTTGTCGCTGGATGACTTTATCGTGCAGCATCCGAGATAAGAGTGGCATTGCTCTGGCTAGAGCTGGGCAAGGGCAATAAGACGGGTCCAAGGTTAAGAGTCCGAGCAGAGACCAGAGCTCACTGCAGTGGAGCTACTGGATAGAAAAGCCACCAAGCAAAGCTTTGACAGGGAGACATGCAGGGCAATGCCATGTCCTGCTGAAAACTTCCCACCACCTCACCCTGTCAGACTCACGCCCCCACCTAATTTATTACCAGGGAGAAGGCTGTGTGAGAGGGACCACACGAGGGTAAGGTAGCGGCAGACAAAGGAAGACAGCATAGAGCTTCCAATTGTGCTTTCTCGCTGGTGGCTGCAGCTCAGTGAACCAGCTTACTGAATGGATCTTGGTTAATTAAATTCTCGCTTATAAAAGCTGCTTTAGGAGAAGGTTTGAGGAGAAGAGAAAGGATTTGTTCTTGCAACAGCAAACCGTAATTCTGCATTTGTCAGTCTTCAGCTGTGTTCTCTCTAGGTAGCATCTTAGGCTAAAGGGCAAGTCAAAGGTGACTGGAGGTCTTGCTCTGTACAGAACATAAAGCGTTGAGATGGAGTGGAAGAGCATAGTGGTGCAAAAAGAATTTCTAGGATTCTGCCATTCATCGCAATCTGTTCTCTAAACAGCTGTTCCCAAAAGACCAGTTCTCTACAACGGTGCCACCGCGCACACTAGACAGTTTGTCCTCCAAACGTTGACAGCTCTCCCAGGAACACCCCGTTAAAACCATGACAAAGACACGTGGCCAAAATTCAGATCTGTAGGATGACGGTGTAGCTGTGCCAAAACAAGAGGCGCATTCAACACGACGGAAGTTGTGTTTAGTTGACAGAGCTGTGTGACAGACAGCACAACAGGTCATTTCATCTAAAAAACTAAACTCAATAATTGGCTTGTTTGTCCAGCTGGGTGAACTGACCAATTACCGGTAAGTACAATCAAATGTGCGTGGCCATTTAGATAATTGACAATTGATTCTGTTTCCTTTAAAACGTAAAAACAAAGTTAAACTCGTTTAGTGTTTTAAATCTCTGCAAATAAATCACTTTCTATATTCCTGTCCGAAGACAGAATTCTGACGAGGTTTAATTTTGTTTAAACAAATCGAATTTTATGAATTTATTTTGATCTTTGTGCCTCTCAGTCTTGTAGGAACCGATAGAGGAAGCTTGAAAAAAAAAAAGGACATTTTTATTCTCAATACAAGCACTATTTGCTAACAATAAAAAAAATTTAAAAAAAGGATCAAAAGTCTCTTGTTCTGCTATCTTAGAACACTTTTCTTGACGGCTAGATTGTAATATTATGATATAATCCATGTCCATCTGCCAAGAAAAAAGTAGTAATTTGAAGCAGCTTGTTGGCAGGCAAAATGCAGAGAGATAAATTAATTTGTGACACCTACAGGAGATGAACAAATGCAACGGATGGGGGTGTCACATGGGCCTGTCAATCGGTCAGCATGACCTTGAGGAACCACATATAAACTGGGAAAATATGAAGGACGACCATGGACACATACTACCAGAGCAGCCGTCACACTCGAGGGTGGTGTCGCCTTTCTTCCACTATGGAAACAGCTGTGCAGACGTACAAAGAATGTTGGGTGGGTGAGGGAGATGTGCAGCTGTTGTGAGATGGACAAACTGTGGAAAAAGACATGCAAGTGTCCACACTGAAGTTCTTGCTGATTTAACTGCTAATTTACTTTTTTTATTAGATATAAACGGCTTACTGGACGATTCTGTTTCAGTCTTTAACATCCGTAGCGTACTTCTTCTTACGAGCTGTCTTGACAAGACAATGTCAAACTTCCCATTTTCAGTATATTTCACCTAACACAGCCACAAGTGGGTAATTCGAGGACGACCGTGGCTTACTGGAGTTTGCACAGCCTGCTTAAAATAACACGTTTATTATTATTATGACCCACACCTCATGATGCACTTTATATTTGTAAAGCACCAACGTTTTCACCTCTTGGTCCAATTAAAATTGCAGACTCGTTTGCCGTAAACACGGCCGAGTCTGTTCTTTTCAAAATGGAACGGGAAGGGACAGCCCACGGGGCGAACAAACCAAACAGCTCCCTTACCGACGGCCAGACAAACCTCTGCACGGCGAGGACGGTCAGCTCATACGAATGTAATTTTTGGCAGCAGGGTAAAGTTTGGACCGGTTCTGTGGAAACGCTTGTAAACCTTAGTCATGTGTGGCTTTATAGAGACTGGGGCTGTGAAGTTGCAAGCGTCTCTGCTATTATATTATAAACACAGATGGGGGACATTCCATCTGCAGCCTCAGAGGACTTGTTTCTTATTCCCATACCTCGAACAGCCAAGTACCACCAAAGCAAACTTTTAACTGCACCATTTATTT